CTATTGATTTTGTATATTTATTTGGTATCCAACTATTTTCCTGAGTTTTCTTATAAGTGCTATGGTTTTTCATCAACTCTTGGATATTCTAGCCAGGTAATTATTTTGTCTCTCCTGGGTTTTTTTTGTTTGTTTAAGAGACAGGGTCTCCCTCTGTCACCCGGCTGGAGTGCAGTGGCACAATCTTAGCTCACTGTAACCTCGAACTCCGGGCTCAAGCCATCCTCTCGCCTCCACCATCCAAAGCGCTGGGATCACCGGAGTGAGCGCCACGTCAGGCCTCTTCTAGGTTTCACACTGCAAGTTTCACTTCCTTGCTTTTTGCACGGGCTGGAACTTCACAGCAACATTGGATGATGGAGACCCTGGGGAGCATCTCTGGTGTGACCCTGGTCTTAATACGTTTTAGTAGTTTTAATAATTTCCCACTTAATTTGCTGTCGGTTTCACCACCACCTTCAGCGTCACCTGGGAGCTCACAGAAAGGCAGCCTCAGGCCCCGCTCACCGACTGGGATTCCCCGGGGCACTCGCCTGCACTTGAAGTTCAAGGAGCACTCACCTAGACGACTTTGCTGTGGCTGCTGGAGTCTATCAAATATTTTTTGGCATCTGTTGATCCCCAAAAAATGATGCCACCTTTTTTTTGTGATTATCATGTATTTTAGTCCTCACTCTGGACCAGCCCTGTGTCCCAGAACAGGGGCCGCCTCACCATCTCCAAGCTGCTCATCACTTACTTCCTCATTCCCGTGTCCCCAGCTGCTGGAGGAGGGCCCGGGCCAGCCTCCCAGCACCAGGGCTGCGAGCAGCTCACAGGCTGCTCAGAAAGCACCCGACCTAATGTGACCTCTGGACCCTTCATGGCTCAGCCAGGGGCCCCCCCTTCCCCTTCTCCCTCTTCACATGGTTTAGAATCTTGTTTAAATGGAGGGTTCTCAAGACCAAACCTAACTGGCCTGGGGCTCTAGGCAGCGGACCTGAGCACCCAGGGGCAGCTCCCAGTCAGGGCGTGCTGAATGGGGCCCAGCTGACCCTCCAGCTTTGGGCCATAAAGTTAGAGTCAGAGGCGTGAGCAGAAAGCTCAGGTGGGGTGAGGCAGAAGCTGAAAGACCCAGAGAGGCAGTAAGCAGAAGCCCGGTGGCAGCGAGGAGGGGAGAAAGGTTTCTAGTTAAGCTGCCCCCGCAGAAATGGGTCCAGGGAGAAGCAGCAGCATCGCTCAGTGGATGCACGGTGTGAGCAACACACGGGTCCTCGCCAGCGCCGCCGGTGCACCCACGGCATCCCCAAGAGGGGCGGGCAGGGAGCCCCAGAGCCCAGCTGCGGGCAGATGTTGCCACTTGCCTTGGAAGCAAGCCAGGAAGTAGCAGTGTCCCTGAAGCAGCAACGTGAAGCTCTGCACAGGGTGTTGCTTTCTGTTGACTGAGCACACACAGCGCCTCCCTCTCTGGACGTGGGGTCCGCATGAAAGACCCTGTTCCCCTGGCTGCGCGGGGTCCTGGGACAACCAGCCAGGAGCTACTAGGGAGGGGGGTGCTCCTCTCCACTAAATACTGGCAGCCAGATCTCCCCAAGGTCCCTGGGGTGGAGGTAGGGGAGCCCAGGGCTGGCGAAGTCCTTCCAGATGGCTCTGAAGACATTGAGGGCTTTAGTCCTTCCGATGGTCTCTGAGGAACAAAGGCAAAGGCAAGAGTCCCAGGAAGACCTTGGGAGCAGGCACCTAGGAAACAGCCCTGTCCCACGCTGGGTCTGGGCTCTGGGACCGCCTCACGTTGGGACACTGCCTGGGGCCTCAGTGAGCCGCCGGTGGGGGCTGAGGTCCAGCCACAAGTCTGCTGAGGGCTGCCAAGCTCACCCTCATCTGGCCCCTGGGTCCGTTCTGTAGGCGACAGCTGGCCACCGGCGGAGCTCAGAGTCCACAAGGGAGGGTCTGGCCAGGCTGGTTACCGCCGGGCATCTTCAGGGGAGGTAGAGTGCCACCACCACGTAGATGACCCAGCTGGTGGACACGAAGACCCCGAAGAGCAGGCTAAACAGCACCAGCGAGCGGGCCTTCCGTGAAGCCGCCTCGGCCTGGGCCAGGTCGCCCCTGCCCAGGGCTGCACGGGTCTGCAACGAGATAGCGCGGGGGCAGTGAGCAGCCGGGAGCCCCATTCCCACCCTGGTGCAACACTGCTGGAGACAGGCCCTGTTCCACAGCCTGGAAAGCACACCCTGAGAGGTTCGGGGACCTGCCGGGCCCATGACTCGTAAGGCGCAATGGCGGCGGTGGCCACCTGCTCCCAGGTGCTTGTCCTGGCCAGGCACTGACTGATGCCCTTACAGCTTCATCTACAATCCCCTGAGGTTGCCCCCACTGTGCAGATGTGGAAACAAAGGCTCAGAGAGGTTAGGTGACCTGCCCAGGGCTGCACAGCTAGTTATGGAGCCAGAATTCACAGGCAGGCAGTGGCCCCCAGAGTCCCAGCTCTGAGCTGTCCTGAAGGCTGGCTTCTCTCCACGGCCCTGGCTTGGGTAGTAGAGGGAAGCCAGGGCCGTACAGGTCAGCCCTGAGCACAGGCCCCCAGAGTCTTGCCTGCCGCGGTCTCTGTGGCAAGGTCATCACGCTGGCATCGCCGAGTCCCCAGGGCCCAGCCCTGTACCCGATATGGTCAGTAAAGTCGGGGTGGGGAGAGGTGGTGAGAGGTGGATGGATGGGAAGATGGGTGAGGAGAGGGACAGGTGAGTATATAGATGGGTGAACAGCAGGAGGGAGGGAGGCAAGGAGGGAGGCAGGGAGGGACAGACAGGCTAGAGAGGTGGCAGGTGGGTGGGTGGGAACAGGCTAGAGGGGTGAAGAGTGGCGGCGGCTGGCTGAGTGGACGCAGGATGAGAAGGAGGGGTGGGTGGACGGAGGCGAGAGAGATGGTGCCTGGGCGGGGGATGGGCAGGTGGGCGGGCAGCTGGGCGGGCACATGCGCAGCCAGAGCGAGGTCAGATGCAGGCAAGTGGACGGACGTAGAGATGACTGCGTGGACGGACGGGCAGACTCCTCCCCCTTCGAAACCCAAGCCCCCGCGCGGATGGGCAGCTGAGCTTCCCAGAGCAGCCCTGGAGTGGCAAGGGGCAGAGGCAGGAGCAGGCGCCCACACAAGAGGGGCAAAGACCTCCCAATTCCCATCCCCTCCTGAGGGAGAGACCCCGTTGCTGGGAGAGGGGCCCTGGGGCCCCCCACCTGGGGCACTGGTGGCTGCGTGCTGGGAGGGGCTCGCGAGGGGCCTGCGCCGCGCCTACCTCATGGGCGTACACGATGGCCACGAGCCCGGTGAGCAGGCAGCAGAAGAGGGTGGCCAGCGCCGACTCCACCATGTAGTCCTTGGGCAGCGGCCTGTGCTCCCCGGGGGGCGGGGCAGGCACGCCAGCCGCGGGGCTGCCGTACTGTGGGCAGAGCCGCAGTGGTGAGGGGCGCCCGCCTCCAGGCACCGGAGTGTGGACGCGGCCAGGGGGCCCTGGAAGGATACTCGGTGCCCCGCACCCCCACCCAGAGGGGAGTGGGCCAGGGCCCCCCGCCCCCCGCCAGTCACTCGGCCCGCAGGAGTCCCCTGGCTCTGCCCTCCGCAACCGGGGTCCAGCCACCAGCTGCATTTCCAGTCCCCACGGGGCGGCGGGGCGGCGGGGGTGTTTGGTTGAGTTTTTTTTTTTTTTCTTTTAAGAAAATCTAATCAAGTCTCCTCCCGCCCAAAGGCCCCGGGGCCCCTCACCTGGATCCCATCTTCCTTCTCCCACCTCCGCACGCCAAACCCACCGCGCTCATTCCCCGCACGCCCGTGCTGTGCCCTCTGCCCGGGCGCCCTTTTCCCTTCTCTGCCGGAACGCTCCTGCTCACCCTCCAGACCCCGGCTCACGTGCCCCCACCTCCGGGAAGCCTCCCGGCTCGCCCGCCCCGCAGGCTAAGGGACCGGAGAGAGCCCTCGTCCCCTGCGCGCCGCTCCCGCCCGCCCGGGCCCGCCGGCCACCACTCACCACGGGGAAGGGGAAGGCGGGCGCGGCGGGGTAGAGCGGGGCGGGCGGCGGCGGGAAGGCGGCGGCGGGCGCGGGCGCGGCCTGGAACAGCACCGGCACCTGCGGGAAGGGCGGGTAGAGCAGGTGCACGGCCGTGGGGTCGGGCGGCGCGTAGGGCGGCGGCTCGCCCACGAAGCCGATGGGGGGGACCCCGCCGGCCGCCGCCTTGGGCTCCGGCCTGGCCTCGCCCGCCGCCGCGGCCCGGGCCTCCTCCGGAGCCGGCTCGCTTCCCTCGGCGCCCGTGGGCGCCGCGTCCTCGCTGGGCCCCGCGTCCTCGTCCAGGGGCTGCGGGCGGCGCGGGAGCGCGGGGAGCGCGGGAGGCGCGGGGCTCAGGGCGTCGTCCGGCGGGGCAGGGCTGCCGCCCCCTTTTGCGTCCAGGCCTGGAGAGACAGGGCAGGGCGGTGAGCCCGGGGGGGGGGGGCCCTCATGTGGGACCTCCCCCAACACGTCGCCCCCCCATACCGAGTGCCAGTCCTCTCCAGCTCATCCAATCCTCAAGCAAAAGGCAATGATGGGACAAGGAAAGTGAGGCTGGGAGGGGTGAGGCGCCTTGCTGAAGATCACACAGCCCGAAAGACGCCCAGGTGGACCGACCTGGCTGTCGGCCCTGCCCTGGGTCCAAATTGCCTCTCTTAAGCGATAGTCCCCACCCCCAAACCTAGCTGTCACAGCTGATTGGACCAGAAAAAAAGCATCGACCCGGGGCAGCCCCTGATTGGCTGTCCTGAGATACAGCTCCAACAGGTGGCTCATCTGAAGAGATGAGCAAAGCCAATCAGATTCTTGGACTGGGGTTGTGGGGGAGGAGTGGGGTGTTCAAACGCTGCCAGAGTCTGGAAGCCAGACTGTTGCTAATAGAGTGACATGGTGGAGCCAGGAGGTCACTAAGGGTCATGTGCCACCGAGGCAAAGCGAGAACAGAAACCAAAATGTGCAGGACCCCAGAGCCCCAAAGGCACCCAGCTGCCTGCCTTCCAACTCAGGCCCTGCCCTCCGGCAGCCACAGATAAACTGGTGACACCTGAGTAGGTCTCAACGCATCCTGAAGATCCCCCTGCACCTCCCGAGAGCATCCTGACCAGCTGTGCACTTGAGGGTCTCTGGCAGGGGCCCAAGAAAGGCCCTCAAAGAGAACCTGGGGTGGACTCCTCTGACCTGTGTGGGCATTCAAGGCCTCACACCAGGGGTGGGCAGCCCCGCAACAAAGGTTTGGCTTCAGGTTCATTTGCTAAGTGTCCTTAGGGGTTATAGAAAGCACAGGGAGAAGTGAAACACATTAACACGGGACATCTCAGTGGATGGGAGGGGCCTTTCTGAAGACCCCTTCTCCCATCTCCGTCGCCCACAGGGCTGGAGGGTGGAGTCAGGGGCCAGGGATGCTTGAGAGGGGTCCCAATGGCAGGAATGCTGAGCCCCTGAGAGCCTCCTGCCCCAGCCCCCTCCCTGCAGCCAGGGTCTCACGCAAGGCCTCTGCTCCTCATACGCCTGCTGTTTATACCTCCTCACCTTTACACCTGTGACAATCCCGCTATTTTTTTTCCCACCCCTTGCAGCTTGGCCTGGCCATGTGTCTTGCTTTGGCCAATGGGACATTGACAAACGTCTTGCAAGTAGAAGCCTTACAAACCTCTCTCTCAGGGTTACCAAGGTCTGGGGCAGGCGGACATGGGGTTAGTGTTTCTGTCTGGGGAGATGAGAAAGTTCTGGAGATGGATGGTGGTGATGGTGCACGACACTGTGGGTGTACTTAATGCCACTGAATTGCACACTTAAAATGGTAAATTTTATGTTACACGTATTTTACCACAATTTTTAAAAAGCCCATCTCTCCATCTGACGACAACTAAAAAGTCAGACAAAATACAAAAAACAACCTGAAGTCACTGAAAAGCGATCAAAAGCAGGCAAACTAGGGAGCAGGGTCGAAACCCGGAGTCACCCTCGGGTGCACTTTTGCTTTTATGATCCCCATTTGACAGATGGGGGACCTGAGGCTCTCAGCAGGTAAACTGAGCCTCAGCGAGTTAGGTCTCCACTCTAGAGACCGGTCCCTCCCGGATACTGCGTGAGGCGGGAATTCCCGCGGGGCCCCTGTCCCAGTTATCACAACACACAAACCACAGTTTCCCTGGACCCCGCCAGGGCCAATACCTGGCCCGACGGCGGAGATGGGGCCGCAGAGTAAATAAACTTGCCGGCCGGGCTGCCGGGCGGCGACCTCGGCTTCTCAGGTTCTCCACCAACACCGGAGCCGACATTCCGGCGGGAAGGGGGCTGGGCTGCCCGAGGCGAGGAGGGCGGGTAAGGGCTCGAGGTCTGGGCGGGTCCTGGGCGGCGCCCCGTCTTCGCCCAGCGTCCCCCGGAGCCGCTTGCAGCTGCGACCTGGGTGCGCCCCACCCCCGAGTTCTCGTGGCGGGGCCGGCTGTGGGCCGGAGCGCGCCCGGGCAGGCAGGACTCTGCACGGTCCGGTGCCACCGCTCCACCCCTGCCAGCCCGGGACCCCCAAGGGCAGGGCCCGGGTCTCGACTCCCGTCCTCGCGCCTCACGGCCCCTGGCTCGCGCGGGCGGTCGGAGTCGGCGGCGGAGCCTTTGCGCGCAGCCCCGGGTCTGCGCGTCGCTCGGCCTCTGCCCCCAGCTCTCGTCTCTGAACCGCCCTCCTCGACCTCGCTCCCCAGGCTCTGTCTCCGCCCCGTTTGCCAGGGTCGCCCCTTCCCCCTGCGGCGCTGAGCAAAGCCACCGGCGACGGGACGCGGTGCGGGAGGGGCCGGAGAGCTCCCGAGGACGTGCGGTCTCGCGCAGGGCGCCCCAGGGCTGGGCAGGGGCCTGGCCAGAGCTCCAGGACTTTCTACAGCCTCCTGGGCCCCTGGCTCCGGTGGGGGTGTCCCGGCTGGGCGGTCGCCCCCTCCCGCCCCCGCCCGGGCGACCCGGGCCCCGCCGTACCTGCCTCCATGGCGCTCGGGGCTGCGGTTCCCGCTCCCGCCGGGCGGCTGGGCGTCGCGGCCGGCTCGGGTTTCCTGGTGCGCCGCGCACCTGTTAATAATTGACTGCCTTGTTTGCCGCCGGCCGCGTCACCGCCGCGCAGGGCAGGACGGCGGGGTCTAAGGGGCGCGCGGCAGGCGGGGCGGCACAGTAGGAGCGCCGAGGGACGTGCGACCCGCAAGCCCGCGGGGGATCTTAGTGGCCAGATCTTCCTTTTAATTTCCCAGCAAATGAGACCAGAAATGTAGATTTTTCATGTGAAATCTGAGTTTTTATGTTAACGCTTGCCCCTTCTTCTAAAACAGAAATCTGAGTGTTAGGCCAGGTGGGGCTCACACTTGTAATCCTAGCACTCTGAGAGGCGGAGGTGGGAGGATCTGTTGAGGCCAGGAGTTCGAGACCAGCCTGAGCAAGAGCGAGACCCTGTCTCTACAAAAGATAGGAAAAATTAGCCGGGCGTGGTGGCACGTGCGTGTAGTCCCAGCTACTTGGGAGGCTGAGGCAGGAGGATCGCCTGAGCCCAGGAGTTTGAGGCTGCTGTGGGCTAGGCTGAGGCCAGGGCACTCTAGCCCAGGCAACAAAGTGCGACTCTGTCGCAAAAATAAAAAGAAATCTGAGTTTTAAAACAATGTGTGCGAGACTTCTGCTTCCTGTAATGTGCCCCTCTGGAGAACCTGGAAATGCTGGATCAACACCACCAGCCTGCTAGACAGAGTTGAAATCCAGAGCTCCCAGATTGGAAGGAAAAGCCCCAGACCAGAATGAAGAGGGAGCGCCTGGTAAGCCCAGGGGGCTGGTCTCAGTGGTCCAGGGCATAAGTTTCACACCCAGATGTAGGCAGGAGACTGAGCCCTGGGTCTGGTAAGCAGGGACTGGGATGTAGAGAGAACCGAAAACAAACTCTGCCCTCGGCTCATACAAGTGACAAAGAAGTTGGTCTGAACCAGCCCAGGTTATGGTGAAGAAATAAAATCTCCCTGGGGGTTGGAACCACAGGCCTGTTCCCTAGTTTCAGTCTATCTAGTGGTCCAGACACCCCCACACTAAAAACTGACATTAAAAAAAGGAACTCCAGGAAAGAGCTCTGGGACTTATCCAAAGCAAATGTAAAAGTACTCCCATCTGTTTTAGATTTCTGTTTTGTCCGAGCTGACAAAATTCCCACGGAAAAGGTGTCCCTGAAGATGAGCTCACAATGCACAAGGGAAAACATGCAGGGAAACAATCCACCATGAGCAAGAGTCTGCAGACACACGACAGCAAGATCGGGTCAGCCAGGATCCTGTCAGCAAAAGACATCACGTGGAACATTTAAAACAGAGAAGATGCAGCGCAGAGAGGTGGCTTTAGAGGTGACAAAAGAGACAAAGGCCAACCAGAGGAGAAACAACCCAGAGCTTAGTGTGAGGAGGAGGACAATGTCCCCAAGTGACATATTAAAAACAAGGGCAGGAAGGTGGGAGCAGCCCACCCAGGTGCAGGCAACAGGGGTGCAATGTTCGAAGAGCATTTAAAGATAATAATAAAAGTGACTGGAAGTTGCTCTGCTTTTAATCACCATGTGACAGTAATCCTAAACAATGTCTGTGACAAAATACTCCTCCCTGAAAAGAATGTTTGGTGGTCTGAGGTCTAACCCATTGCTGTGGTTACTGCTGGCCACGCCCAACGTCAGGTCTCCACCTCCTGGCAGAAGACTGGAAAAGTCCTCTCCTGGGAATGTGACCAGCCCAAGGGAAAAGAACAAGATTTAAAAAATATCAGTGTTTCCTCAATGAAAATACCCCACATGAGAAACTCCACCCACACTCTCAGAATTAATTTCCAGCCATCTTTCTAATTCCCACTCTCTTTTTTTGGAGACAGAGTCTCACTCTGTCGCCCAGCCTAGAGTGCCACGGCATCATCATAGCTCACAGCAACCTCAAACTCCTGGGCTCAAGCGAGCCTCCTGCCTCAGCCTCCCGAGTAGCTGGGACTACAGGTGGGTGCCACCACACCTGGCTAATTTTTCTATTTTTAGTAGAGACGGGGTCTCCCTCGTGCTCAGGCTGGTCTCGAACTCCTGAGGTCAAGCGATCCTCCCGCCTCAGCCTGCCAGAGTGCTAGGATTACAGGTGTGAGCCACCGCGCCCAGCTGTAATTCCACTCTTAAATATTAACAGAGAGACAGTGATCACTTGCCATAGAGCTGAAGAATGCATCTCACCTGAAAAGAGATACAAAGAAACAAGTGGAAAAAAAGTAACTTGGAGGAAACAGATGCAAGGAGAAGAAAACTTTAAAAACAAACCAATATGATCAGAGAATTTAAGAAGGCTCATGAAACAAGGGCAGGATGGTGTAAAAAAGGAACATTCATAAAACAAAACAAAAGCTCTTGAGAATTAAAGATCTGGCA